CCCCTTCTTTGGTGACAATGAAGCGTTTTTAGCGTATTCTAAGCCCGACCATGTCAGCCACTTGTTTGTCTTGTGCTACGATTTGCATTGCGCCTTATGATTGTTGTTTCGGTTGGATTCGCTTTGTTATTGGGCCGGGAGAGGAGAGAGTTCGGATGATTGCAATGTTTTGGATTCCAAAATGGCCAAACAACAGCTCCAAAAATGAGGAGTTGAAATTTGTCACAGAACTGGAGCCATTGGAAGGGACCTCCCCAGTACCCTCTGTGTCCAAGCCAATCCTGTGTGTCTGGTGTAGGTGTTTTGGTTGTGGCTCCGTCCCCTTTTGTGTGGTTTTGCTGTGTTTCCTGCTGGCGAAACGCAAATCTGGCCGGAAGATTTGCGGGTCGTCGCTGTTTTGTTTGTGTTTACTTGGTTTTGCCTTGAATTGTGGAACCAACGTGTTTCACATTGCTTGTCTTTTATTTAGCCGCTTCTCTCATTGTTGGACCGAGCCTCAGAGCGAAATCGGCCGTAAAAAAAATTGACGCATCTTGTCAGTGTCCTTTACCAAAGCAACGGTCCTGACAAAACCAACCTTCTGATCTAATGATCACCTTTCCCCATTTCTCTAGAGACAAAATTCCACATGAGGGCGACACTGAAGAAACGGGTCGAAAGGACCACTCACTATGCTCATCGCTCTGCCTCTTAGAGGCATCTGTCAAAGCTCCTTCTGTGTCCATTGCACGAGACAACTTTGTAGATGCTTTCAGCATTGCCTCTTTGCTCTTCTCACGCTTCCAGAGACCATAGATGCTTTTCCAGAAGACGCTCAGATTGTTTAGCCATGGCTGGGATAGCATATGAGATTTACTGTGTAAAAGCTCAAAAAGGGCATCGTGCAAGGTGAGCAGGCGAAGCACATGCTCTGGACTTATCTTCCTGAATGCCTGCCTGATCCACAGTCATTCCATGTCAAGACATCAGTCTCTTTGATCTCAAAGGAGGCTGAGATCCTTGCAGCAACGAGCTTGCTGACAGAAGGTGAAACAGGTGCTGCAGTTTCTTGTGAATGACAAGGGTGGTCTGGGAAGTCAATCACGTGTGGCTATGTTTGGTGTCTTGTTGGTTTTTTTGGTTGTGGTTTCTGTGTTTTGTGTGTCTTTGGGTGTCGTTTTTGTCTTTGTTGGTTTTCTTGTTGCTTTACACGGTGACAGCTCTATGGATTATGTATCGATCCAACCAAAATCTCCTTTTGATGCACATTGTCGTCATGATGATGTTGCCACTGCATTAATTCGGGGAATTTGCAAAATGCAACTGGCTGTTCGGCTTGATAAACGACCTGGCGAGAGCCATATGGCGTTGGACGGAAAAAAAGAAGTCAATTACGTGTGGCTATGTAGCTACGTATTGATTCAACGAGTGCCCACGCATTTTTCACAAGCCAAAACATTTGTCAACACGTTGCTGTGGACGCAACAAGCAATGAGGCGTCAATGGTTTGAAGCCTTCAGAATCTCCACCAAGGAGAACCCAGCAGACCTCAACCCAAAAGCTTTGTCAAGAGAGAGACCTCATGAAGAGGATTGATCTTGTGGGCGAGGTTTTTGGAGAAATGAAGAAGTGCCCAGTAAATGGAGGAAGAGACAGCTTGTGAAATTGCTGGTCAGCATGATCATGGCAAGCAACTTGCAAGGATGTGGAGAAGAAACTTTGGCATGGACAAGTTCGACAAGCACTGAAGAAGCCGATGGAATTGTGTGCCAACAACTAGATAGCATTTGCAGTGTTTGTGGTTCTTTGCACGGCCATTGTGATGCTTCGAATCATTTCCAAGTTGGTAGAGAAGATGGAGGAGATCGTGAACTACAAGAACACAATTCAGCAGAATCGCGAGATTGCCCGTTTTGTTCCACATGGAGAAGTGCCATATTGTGAAGAATTGGATGGTGACCCTTTTGCCGAGATCCATGCAGAAGAAGAACCACGTCCTGATGAGACAGTGGCAGATGGTGAAGCAGAAATCCAATGAATACAATGGGATTGACATCGACAGCCAGTATCAATGGAGATGTAGAAGCTGCTGGAATTTGACAACGAGTTCTTCAAGCTGAAGGAGCATATGGTGTTGCAGATGGAGATGAAGCTCGAGTTCCTGATCAAGGTAGTGCAGATGGTGGAAGAGAAGTAGATTCAAGTAGATGATGATGATGATGATGATGATGATGAGTCATTATGAAGTTGAGGAGATACTTGCAGAAAAGCACCACCGGTACTTGCAACCGACCATAGAAGGCCTTGTCCATCGCGATTCGACGGCTCACTTCTTTTGCCAATGGTTTTGGCATTGCTTTGGGTTGAGGGATACCATCACTTTTTTTTTTGGTATGGACGGCCGTTTATGCTCTGAGGCACGGTCCTTTGAACTTGACTCTTACTCGCGGACCAGCGGGGAATCGAACCACCACCTGCAATCTGTCAGCGCCGTCAAAAATGACGCCCTACCAGTTGAGCCACGAGGACGACTGGTTGAGAGATACCATCACATTCATCGTTCCTAGACCTCGATCACATCATCACCAGCGACGTCTCCATCTCGCTTCCCACAACCGTAGTGAATTTCAGCCCACTCATCTGGATGGCGTAGAGTCTTCATTCCTTGGCATTGTCAATGACTACAATTATTTCTCTTGCAGTGTGCCTGTGGCAAACTACTTTGGAATTATGCCTGTCCCTCCTGCACCCGATGCGTTGGACGACTACAGGTGGGATCAAATTGTGCAGGCATTGGGCTGGAAAGCTACTCTTGCATTTAGGCGTCAAAACATGCAACAACATATTTGCAGTTTGCTCCATTGTGCTACCAACACGCAGGTGATGCAAAGTAGGACCATGGAACGCACTGCAATGTGATGCAATGCAATGCGTGGTAGTGTATTCGAATCGCTCTGCGAGCCCAATGTGGAACTGGTAATCTACTGATTTGATGCAGAAATCTTTGAGATGTGAACCTAACTCGAAGCACATTTGAAATCCCCATGTACCCCCATGTACATCAACACTAAAGCGTAGTTGAATCAATATTCAATCGCGGTTCAATATGGGATGTTCTAAGTGTGGGGTCTCCACAGCAGAATGCTAGCATATAAATATAAATATAAATAAATATATATATATATATGTACGCAGATTTAAATGGCAGCAGAATTTTGAACCCAATGTGGAACGGGTAATCTACTGATTTGATGCAGAACCTAACTCGAAGCACATTTGAAATCCCCATGTACATCAACACTAAAGCGCAGTTGAATCAATATTCAATCGCGGTTCAATATGGGATGTTCTAAGTGTGGGGTCTCCACAACAGAATGCTAGCATATAAATATATTAAAAAAAATAAATAAATGAATAAAAAAATAAATAGATAAATAAATAAATAAAAATATATATGTACGCAGATTTAACTGGCAGCAAAATTTTGAATGTGATGTGAACTTAACTCGAAGCACATTTGAAATCCCCATGTACATCAACACTAAAGCGTAGTTGAATCAATATTCAATCGCAGTTCAATATGGGATGTTCTAAGTGTGGGGTCTCCACAGCAGAATGCTAGCATATAAATATAAATACATAAAAAAATAAATAAATAAATATATATATATGTACGCAGATTTAACTGGCAGCAGAATTTTGAACCCAATGTGGAACGGGTAATCTACTGATTTGATGCAGAAATCTTTGAGATGTGAACTGAACTCGAAGCACATTTGAAATCCCCATGTGCATCAACACTAAAGCGTAGTCGAATCAATATTCAATCGCGGTTCAATATGGGATGTTCTAAGTGTGGGGTCTCCACAGCAGAATGCTAGCATATAAATATAAATATGTATATGTACGCAGATTGAAATGGCAGCAGAATTTTGAACCCAATGTGGAACGGGTAATCTACTGATTTGATGCAGAAATCTTTGAGATGTGAACCTAACTCGAAGCACATTTGAAATCCCCATGTACATCAACACTAAAGCGCAGTTGAATCAATATTCAATCGCGGTTCAATATGGGATGTTCTAAGTGTGGGGTCTCCACAGCAGAATGCTAGCATATAAAAATAAATAAATATATATATATATATGTACGCAGATTTAAGTGGCAGCAGAATTTTGAACCCAATGTGGAACGGGTAATCTACTGATCTGATGCAGAAATCTTTGAGATGTGAACTTAACCCGAAGCACATTTGAAATCCCCATGTACATCAACACTAAAGCGTAGTTGAATCAATATTCAATCGCGGTTCAATATGGGATGTTCTAAGTGTGGGGTCTCCACAGCAGAATGCTAGCATATAAATATAAATACATAAAAAAAAAAATAAATAAATATATATATATATGTACGCAGATTTAAGTGGCAGCAGAATTTTGAACCCAATGTGGAACGGGTAATCTACTGATTTGATGCAGAAATCTTTGAGATATGAACTTAACTCGAAGCACATTTGAAATCCCTATGTACATCAACACTAAAGCGTAGTTGAATCAATATTCAATCGCGGTTCAATATGGGATGTTCTAAGTGTGGGGTCTCCACAGCAGAATGCTAGCATATAAATATAAATACATAAATAAATAAATAAATATATATATATATGTACGCAGATTTAAGTGGCAGCAGAATTTTGAACCCAATGTGGAACGGGTAATCTACTGATTTGATGCAGAAATCTTTGAGATATGAACTTAACTCGAAGCACATTTGAAATCCCTATGCACATCAACACTAAAGTAAAGTTGAATCAATATTCAATCGCGGTTCAATATGGGATGTTCTAAGTGTGGGGTCTCCACAGCAGAATGCTAGCATATAAAAAAAAAGTTTCCCCATCCCTATTGAACTCCGTTCGTTGAATCCTGCTGTGGCCACCCTCTTGCCCTGCTCCTCTACTTCAGGCAGCGGGGGGGTGCCCCCCTCTGCATTGGAGGGTCGGGGGGTGGCCGCGGCTGGTCATGGCTCCGTCTCCTGGTACGCCGGTGGGGGGGGAGCGGCCTTCACGGCGTGCTGCTCCTGCTGCGGGTGGTGGTGTGCCGATGGAGGTCGATGGGCCTCCCTCCGCCGCCGGCGGGCCAGATGTTGCTATGCCAGCTGCAGGGCCGGGGCGCTTGTTCTGTCCCGTGTCTGGTTGCCCCTGCGGCGATGCCGCGCGATGTGCTGGCTGGACGAGCGAGACAACTCTCCGGCGACACGTGGACCTCCACCTAACCGGCCATCTGGCTGGGGATGTGCCTGCTGCTTGGCTTCAGGCCCGGCATCGCACCCGGTGCTCTGTTGGTGGCACTGGCGTGGCTACACGCTTTGGGGTGCATCCAACCTGCCGGCCTGAGGCCCGTGCTGCTGCACCTGGTGGGGAGGCCAGAGCGCCTGCTCTTCCAGCTGGTGAGGCGCTGCCGTCGTTTGAGGCGATCCAGGCCGGGCAAACCCCGACTCTCCGGCACGTGCCTCATAGTGCTCGACCTGCTTGGGCCCAGCTTCTCACCCGGAGCCTGGCCGCAGTGGCCACCTACAATGATGAGCGGTCCTGGGCAGAGCTGCTGATGCTTCCTCAGACTGTTCTGTGTGCGCCGGCTCGTGGTGGCCGCCGTCATCAGAAAGCCCTCGCCGCTTTCACTTTAGAGCGGATCCAGCGATGGCAAGAGGGGGAGCGTGCTGCTCTTTGGGCTGCCCGCCCCAAGCCACGGAAGCGGTCCCAGACCGGACCTAGCCAAGAAGAGAGGCAGGAATTCGCAACCAGCCTGGCAAGGGAAGGGTTTGACAAAAAGGCCTGTGCCGCACTCCTTTCTCAGGGCCTTTGTCCCACAACCCCCGAGACTGTCAGCGCTTTGCAAGCCCTGCACCCGGTTGGGCCCAACCCTTCCGGGCCTGCTATGGCTGACCTGCCTGTTGCGCCGACCCTTGATGTAGAACTGGTGGTACGAGCTCTTCGCTCCTTTCCTGTTGACACCGCCCCAGGTCCTTCAGGCCTGCGGGTCCAACATCTCCGGGAATGCCTTCAGTCTGGTGTCGGTGACGGCTTGTTGGATCAGCTCACTGCAGTTGTTAACCTGCTGGCTCAAGGCCGAGCCTGCCCTGCTGTGATGCCGCTGCTGGCCGGTGCCGGGCTGATCGCCTTACCCAAGCCAAGTGGAGGTGTCCGGCCCATTGCCATAGGGGAAATTCTCCGCCGGCTTACAGGGAAGTGCCTGATGCAGGTGGTTCGTGCAGAAGCCCGAGACTACTTCTGGCCGGCCCAACTTGGTGTGGCTGTCCCAGCCGGAGCCGAGGCTGCAGTACACACTGTCCGGGCGTGGCTGGCTCGACACACTGCTGCCGTCAACAAGGTGATTGTGAAGCTGGACTTCCGGAATGCCTTCAACCTTGTCAATCGTGACGCAGTTCTGCAAGAGGCCCGTCTCCGGTTTCCGGCTTTGGCCCGCTGGGCTACATGGTGCTATGGTGAGCCCAGCCGTTTGCAGTATGGACCGGCCACTCTGCAGTCCTGTGTGGGAGTCCAACAAGGAGATCCCTTAGGCCCTTTACTTTTTGCAGCAGCTGTGCACCGGCTTGCCCTAGACTTGAAAGCAGGGCCGCTGGACCTCTCCATGTTCTACTTGGACGATGGCTTGCTTGCAGGGGACATTGGTCCTGTGGCCAACGCCCTTCACCACATTCAGCAGCGCGCCGCAGAATTGGGTCTGCATCTCAACCTTCAAAAGTCTGAAGTGGTTGCTGTGGGAGCTATCCCGGATGGCACCTTTCCTGGCCCCCTGCCCGCAGCCCTTTGTGCTACCCCTGATGGCGCCAGCCGGGTGGTGCGCGATTTTGAATTCCTGGGCGCGCCTGTGGGCTCCGATGCTTTCTTGGATGGCCATACCAGCCGGCGAGTTGAATCAGCCACAGCTTTGCTAGATGCCTTGGGTGCGCTGGCGGACCCTCAGGTGGCCTTGCGGCTGCTGAGGAGCAGCGCCGGCTTTTGCCGCATGGCTTACAGCATGCGATGCAGCCCTCCCACTGCTCAACAAACCGCTTTTGCTGGGCTTGATTCTTTGGTTCACCGGTGCTTCAGCTCCTTTACCGGGCTTCACCTGACCGACGAGCAGTGGCAACAAGCCACCCGCGGCTTGCGCCATGCCGGGCTTGGGCTTCGCTCAGTGCACTCCCATGCTCCCGCTGCCTTCCTTGCTTCTCTTGGTGGTTTTGCGCACAAATGTCAGGAGTTGGACCCCAATTACCCCACTGATTTGGGTACTTCACCTGAGGCTTGTGGTGCAGTGGCTGCTTTCAATGCCCAGCTGCCCCAGGCTGCACATGTGACGCTGTCCGCTGCTCTTGGCAAACGGCAGGCGGACCTCAGCCACCTGTTGGATGCAGCTGGCTGGGAGGCCCAACTAGCTTCGTCTTCTGCCATGGCAAAGGCTGGCTTGCTTTCTGAGGCCGAACCTGGTGGGCGCGCCTTTCTAACAGCCTTGCCTGCTGGACGAACCCGCATGGAGCCCGCCCACTTTGTTTCTGAAGTCCGTGCGCGGCTCGGGGTTCCACATGCCAGCCACGATGCTTGGTGCCCACGCTGTGACGCTGTGCTGGACCGGCATTCGGTCCACGCCAGCATGTGTGTGGCCGGTGGAGAGCGCAACCAGAGACACAACAGCTTGCGCGATCTTGTGCACGGCTGGGCTGAGAAGGCCGGGCTCCAACCAGAGAGGGAACGAGCTGGGCTTCTGCTGCCGCAGAGCCCTGATGATGCTTCATCGGCCAGGCGCCGACCTGCTGACCTGTACTTGCCTTCCTTCCATGGGCGGCCAACCGCATTTGACTTCGCCGTGACGGCGCCCCAGCGGTTGGATGTCCTGGTTGAGGCTGGCCGGGGTGGCGGGTCTGCAGCCAGTGCTTATGCTGACGTGAAGCGGCGGCACCTTGACACAGCCAAAGTTTGTGAACAACATGGCGTGGCCTTTGTGCCTCTGGTTGTCGAAACCAGTGGCGCGTGGGCGCCCGAGGCTTCCAAGATCCTTCACCAGCTCTCCCGGGCAGTGACTTTGAGGCATGGCGGGTTTGGCCCTCCTTTGGGTGGACCGACTCTGCTGGAAGAGGCTTCTGTCCTGGTCCGGTGCTGGCGTGCCCGGGCTACTTTGCGTCGCCGTGCTGAATTGGAGGCCTCCTGATTACCTGTGTCGCGCTCCGGGTTATTCTTCTTGACATCGCCGGCGGAGTGAGAGGTTGAGTGAGGTGTTCCTTTCATCTTATTTGGAGGGCGTCCAGCTCAAAGCTCGGATTTTTCCCTTCTTTGGTTGGACGGCTGCTTGATTTGTCGGCATAGGTCGTCCGTTTTGTTTTTTTTGCCTTGTACTTTTTCGTTTTCCCCTTTATGTGGCTTGAGATTGCTAGCATCTCACCCGCCTTGGCCCCCAAGGGGCTTACCGCAGTCCCGGTCAGTCGAAGATCGTAAGTTTCTCTGATCCTATACCTTTTTTGGTGAGCCCTACTTGTGTGCAGCTTTGGGTTCCCGTACTTTGGCAGGTTTTTTTCCCCTTCAAAGAAGGTTTTTTCCTGCCAACCAGTATAAACCCAAGTTCTTCCTTCTTCGTCTTCTTCCAGCTCCCCGGCTCTCTTTCTATGCACGCTGGAGCTGGAATGAGTTCGCAAGAATTGAAACCTTTCATGAAAAAAAAAATGTACGCAGATTTGACTGGCAGCAGAATTTTGAACCCAATGTGGAACGGGTAATCTACTGATTTGATGCAGAAATATTTGAGACGAAGCACATTTGAAATCCCCATGTACATCAACACTAAAGCGTAGTTGAATCAATATTCAATCGCGGTTCAATATGGGATGTCTAAGTGTGGGGTCCCCACAGCAGAATGCTAGCATATAAATAAATATATAAATATAAATAAATAATAAAAAACACAAATATATATATATGTACGCAGATTTGATTTAACTGGCAGCATAATTTTGAATGAGATGTGAACTTAACTCGAAGCACATTTGAAATCCCCGTGTACATCAACACTAAAGCGTAGTTGAATCAATATTCAATCGCGGTTCAATATGGGATGTTCTAAGTGTGAGGTCTCCACAGCAGAATGCTAGCATATAAATATAAATATAAATAAATAAATAAATAAAAATATATATATGTACGCAGATTTAACTGGCAGCAGAATTTTGAACCCAATGTGGAACGGGTAATCTACTGATTTGATGCAGAAATCTTTGAGATGTGAACTTAACTCGAAGCACATTTGAAATCCCCATGTACATCAACACTAAAGCGTAGTTGAATCAATATTCAATCGCGGTTCAATATGGGATGTTCTAAGTGTGGGGTCTCCACAGCAGAATGCTAGCATATAAATATAAATAAATATATATATATATAAATATGTACGCAGATTTAACTGGCAGCAGAATTTTGAACCCAATGTGGAACGGGTAATCTACTGATTTGATGCAGAAATATTTGAGATGTGAACTTAGCTCGAAGCACATTTGAAATCCCCATGTACATCAACACTAAAGCGTAGTTGAATCAATATTCAATCGCGGTTCAATATGGGATGTTCTAAGTGTGGGGTCTCCACAGCAGAATGCTAGCATATAAATATAAATATATATATATGTACGCAGATTTAACTGGCAGCAGAATTTTGAACCCAATGTGGAACGGGTAATCTACTGATTTGATGCAGAAATCTTTGAGATGTGAACTTAACTCGAAACACATTTGAAATCCCCATGTACATCAACACTAAAGCGTAGTTGAATCAATATTCAATCGCGGTTCAATATGGGATGTTCTAAGTGTGGGGTCTCCACGGCAGAATGCTAGCATATAAATATAAATAAATATATATATATATCTATATACATGTATGCAGATTTAACTGGCAGCAGAATTTTGAATGAGATGTGAACTTAATTCGCACATTTGAAATCCCCATGTACATCAACACTAAAGCGTAGTTGAATCAATATTCAATCGCGGTTCAATATGGGATGTTCTAAGTGTGTTGTCTCCACAGCAGAATGCGAGCATTAAAAACAAAAAAAATATATGTACGTAGATTTAACTGGCAGCAGAATTTTGAACCCAATGTGGAACGGGTAATCTACTGATTTGATGCAGAAATATTTGAGATGTGAACTTAGCCCGAAGCACATTTGAAATCCCCATGTACATCAACACTAAAGCGTAGTTGAATCAATATTCAATTGCGGTTCAATATGGGATGTTCTAAGTGTGGGGTCTCCACAGCAGAATGCTAGCATATAAATGTATATATGTATATATATATGTACGCAGATTTAACTGGCAGCAGAATTTTGAACCCAATGTGGAACGGGTAATCTACTGATTTGATGCAGAAATCTTTGAGATGTGAACTTAACTCGAAGCACATTTGAAATCCCCATGTACATCAACACTCAAGCGTAGTTGAATCATTATTTCCCGGGTGGCCCAACCAAGTGGTGAGGCACCACACTTAGAAGATAAGAAAATAATGTTTGGGAATGATTAACTCCTTCAAGTTGATTTCACACGACTTTCATCCACCACAGACATTATTACAATAATGTTGATATATGAAAATTATATATATTTTTATATGGACATGAACACTCTTATTTAAGGGATGATAAACACACCTTATTCCGTGATTTCCCATGTGTCACCACCAGTTGATTAACATTTCATTTCATACAATCTTTACAAACCATTTTATTTGTTTGTATATATGTATATATATACATGATGCATTTAATATCTATATATAATATATAATTAGTTTGATTCATATATTTTTAGGTGTTCTTTGCATTTATATTATTAGTGTACTATGGACATATATAGTTAACTGGGGCGACATCACACTTAGAACATTGCCGGACAATCACTTAGAAAATATCATCATAAATCTTCTAAGTGTGAATGATAAAAGATAGGCTGTTTCTAAGTGTTACGTTCTAAGTGTGTTTTTTTTTTGTTTTTTATCTTCTATGTGTGAGGTCCCCAATTTTGTTTTTTTTTAATTTTCTAAGTGATTGTCCGGCTGTATATTTTAAAAAATACTGTTTCCTTATTGCTGCGAAGGTTGTTTCATGAGTTGCTTTCCTGTTGCGGCCCTTGGACGAAACAAAAACGTCCCTCTTATGTTGTCACTTGCTTCCAGACCTCTGCACCTGGGACCGTGATGGACCGTGCAGATGAATCCAGGAAAACACAAAAAACTCAAGGTTTAGCTCGAGGTTTATGAAGTTTTGGTGTTCGAATTTCATCAATGGTCCATTTGTTGTGTCATTCGTGTGTCTTGGCGAACAAAGTCGGACCGTGATTCTGGGGTTGTACTTCGTGTGGAAACACTTTGAACTTGTAGTTGTTGACAAACATAGCCAAAATACACATGGAGGAAACCAAAACTGCACATGAACAGCAATTTCCCGTATGCTGTAGGACCCTGAAATCACAGACTGAACGAAACCATTCTGACTGGCATGGAAGAAGATTGCACGTTGACAAAAAAATGCGATCTGATGCGATCTGCACTTACAGTGGAAAAATAGGCTGGAATTTGCGTTTCGAATTTGAGTTCAACCGTGTTCAACATTTTCCAAACCGACACTCAAGCTGAAAGGGCAGCCGCCGCGTTGCTCCAGCATTTTCAGCGGCCAAGGACCTTGCAAAAACATCGCAAAATTAACGGCAAAAATCTCGAGATTCTGAGTGACAAAGAACGACCATGTTGGAAAGATGTGTCTTTTCGTAAGAACTGACACAGTGATTTCAGTGCAATCGGAAATTTTACCCGTGTTTGTTTGCAACGTGTCACGCCTTTTTGAAAGCCAAAGAGCTTCCAAAGGCTGCAGAAAGGATGCCGGCCAAGGTGCACTTCCTCTTGCATTCCGGGACAGTGTTTGCCAATCACTAAGCAGAATAGTTTCTTTTATTCCGGCTGCAGAAATGAAATGAAAGGAAGTATTGCATTGCCGTGTTCCGAAGATTCCGAAGGAGAAGAAAAAAAAACGCACCAACAAACCAAGCCCCATTGAGCGGATGAAGGAAGCGCAGCTTGGACCTGGATGACCTGGATGGTTTTGAAATGACGGGATTTTTCGTTCCCGGTTTCGTGTGAACTGTGAAAGATCCTGATACAGTCCCTGTCTTGAAACGAAAATGACTTGTGAATTGTGCTTACCTGAATTCAAAATATTCAAAGCAAGGACACTGTCAAAACAACTGGGATGTAGTTGAGTGTTCCCAGGTTCGGAATCATGAATCTGGACGAGGACACCAACATTTCAAAAGAAGAGTTCTTCAAGGTGTGCGAAAGTGAAACACTTCTGGGATCAGTATGTCACTACTTGGATAGGTGTTTGGATTGGCAGAGTCTCAGTTTATTTTTTTACAGAATTGAAAGACAAACACATGTGGTATCAGTGGTATCTCTTTTTATTTTACAACTATCCACAATTCATTCGGTTTTTTTTTGTTCCTTAATCTGCCTCGTCCTGGTAGGCCATGGCTTCGCTGGGTCTGGAAGGAAAAGAGGTAGAGAATTTGTTCCGGAGGTAGGGGATAGCTTGTTGCGATGGATGGGGGAAACCATGGAGGTAGCGACTTCTGAGATGTCCCTAAAATGTCATAAACAGACGTGGTGGATGTTGTGGATGTCACTGGTTCCATCTGATCATTTCAGGTTTGATCCTGACAAGAGTGGCTTCCTGGACAAGGAGGACAGATGTTGTCTACCAATGTCATGTTGATAAAAAATTAGGGAACGCAGCCGCCTGAGGAATTCTTTGCATATGCTGCCAAAGGAACCAGTGATGTTCGCAGCCCAGCATCAGTGGACGTGCAGATAAATTTGGAACATGCAGAAGATACAGGCAACAGTGGAAACCGTGCAAAACATAATCATGACCAAACAAGTGGGATCTGGAGAAGATTTGCCGATTTCGCTCATTGGCCATCATGCCGAATCGCTGAAGTGCATCCATTTGCCACATAGTTCACTTTCGCTTTCTGCCTAGCTCCACGCCTTGCTGAAGCGTGGCTTGGCCGCCGCAGATGAAAATGAAGACACGATCCTCAAGGCGTGGGCAGAAATGGCCGCTATGGCCGCTATGGGTCCAAAGCAGTTTGAGCATGTTTGGAAATCAAAGAAACAAACTGGTGGGGGGGCTGAAGAAAAGCTGCAACCTCGCATTTGCACGACTTCAGTCTCTCAGCCCAAAAAAAATAGTTGGAAGTTACATTGTCCACTTAGCAGAGCTGTAAGACTGTCCCACCACATTCTGGAGACAGGTCAAAACGGACCAAATCCAAAAAATCAATGCCATTGTTAGTGGACCAGTTGGAATATAGCCCACCCAGTTGCGATTTGTGCGAGCTTTCAGATCCGCGAGGCCTTTGAGGCATGGGATGTGAACCAGGCCGCAGCGCACATCAACACCTGCAACACCTTATCGAATCGGAAAACCTCAGGGGATAATTTTTCAGGACACCACAGGTTATTTCATGAGGTTTCATGGCAAAATATGGCAATGGCATCTGAAGCTGTCTACCATGATGTGCACCGCATGGTTTGAAGTTCGTTTGAAGGATGGCAGAATCTGCAAGGACGAGCTGGAGCGCGTGTTGGCGCGGCACTCAAATCACGACGTGAAAACCCATGTAAGAAAACGATGTAAGAAAACCCGTTCATCCTTGAAGAACTTGATGTTGGGAGAATTGTTTTCATGATCCGTCTCCGTCAGAAGCTGACAAGATCTGACAAGATCTGACAAGATCTGAGCTGCCAGGTGATGTTGAACCCGGCCTTCACCAAGAAGGATTTGACGAAATTGATGAAGGCCGGCGGGCGGCTGAGGCCACGGAGACCAAACTGGTGACAGCAACAGCTGGGAAGGCAATGGATGAGAACGAAGATGGTGAGATCGACTATGAGGACTGAAAATCTGTGAAATCCAGTGAATCCATGTGCGTTTATGTTTATTTGGCGATCCGACTATCCCAATTCAAGACCCTTGAACTTATGTATTCACATTATGTAAAGACAATAGACACATTAGACTCATTAGACACACCCATGTAAATGCCTTAAGTACCATCCATTTTTTTGGGCCAGTTCTGAACCACGTCTCAGATGTATGTTGTGCCACATTCTCTTGCCAAGTTTGCCAAGTTGCTGAATGCTAGTACCTTAGTGCCAGGAGTTCACCACATGGATATGCAACAGCCATGGCCCGTCAGGGACCCATCAAGTTGCGGCTGTCAAAATGGGAACCAGTCGGAACCAGTCGCGGTCTGGATTTCATGATTCGCTTTTCGACCAAAACAATTATTGACAGTCACTAGATTTCACTAGATTTCACTAGATGGCCATGGGACAGAAGCATTGGCTCGAAACAATCAGTGATGCAACATTGGCCTAAGGAGGAAAAAGTGAGCGGCAAAATCTGCGTTTAACTTTAGCCACACGTTTTTGCTTTCCATGAATGCATTGAATGCCATGGTCAGCAAACCTCTGTGAAGAGTTGCTGCAAACATGGACGTCTTGTGGCACAGCTGGCAAAGTGTAAAGGCACTGAAGGATTTACTGCGAGCCAATCTCCACGAATGTGGATATGATTCAGGTATGCCACAGGCATATTTGTTCCTGGCCATGAGGAAAAATGCGCTGACGAACTAAGATGCGAACGCTTCTTCGAGACACTCCGGCACGGCCAGAAACACTCGAAACACTTGAAAGCTGTGGCCATCGTCTGCTGTGCAGATTTGATATCCGACACTGATTTTTTGGGCTCAACTGCTTGTTCTTTGCAAACACATCTGTCACATTTGCAAAACGAAGATCATCACATTTTATGCGGTGAGTGGTCTTACTTGCTGCAGTGGTTCTCGTGACTTCAGCATGGAGGGCAGATGCTTCCTTGCCAGTCCAAGCCCCGTTGTTTTGATGGATGAATGATCAATTATTTTGATGCATTCAGGGGTTCAGAATTATACTCAAGGACTCAAGGAGAAAAGCAATGTGACGACCAAATGTGTGATCTTTTTGATTAATTATTTATCTTGAAAGACCCAACGGCCGTAAGGAAGCAGCAACTATCCATTGACTTGGACTTCACGCGCAATTTCCTCAGTGCCAGGGAAAGTAGTTTTCAGTGAGTGTCCAAAATCATGAATGATATGAATGCTATTTTCATGGCTTTTCATGGCTGTTTGGCTTTCAGTCGGTTAAGCTGCTGACCTTCCATGTTTTCGCATGGGAATTTCAAGGCCAGCATCTTCGGGGAACCACAATCTTTCAGCTTGACTTCACTGGCTTCAAGTTCCTTGGTACTGTACGGTACGGTACGTACGGTACGTACTGTATTATTTCTATCACTTCCTATCACGCACAAGCAGCATTCTGAGCATGACATGCTTTGAACATGCTTAAGTTATTAAGACACGGTGTGAGTGTCGATTCTCATTTCATCCTTGATCCCTTCATCCTTTATCCTTCTGCTAAGCACAGTGATGCTTGGTGCAAGTCTGAAAATTCACAACAGTTGCACCCAATTGCATCCAATTACCACCCACGGTTCCTGCAAGGACACCTGGTGTCTCGGTGAAGATCCAGCTGCCTCCAAATGCCGCAGCCTGGAGGATTGGGCGGAATGGGCCGAAGGAAAATGATAGGAGCCTCGCTGGTTGATATTGATAGCAGCCGATAGCAGCCGATAGCAGCAGTTTTTAAATCCTGGTGTGTGCCTTTAGGGCAGAAGGGATGTGATACCGCAGGAAAACGATTTCGTTGTCAGTTGGGTGCAGCTCTGATGCGTTGCCAGGGTGGCAGCACGTGGATTTTGGCCATCTGCGGCTCTGGCTGAAAGATAAGAAACAACTATAAATATTCACAAGATGCAGCAGATTTGATGCAGCAGATTTGCACAATATAAGGTGGTTTCATCCACAAATCGAAGCAACATTTGCAACAGATTTGCACAGTATAGCAGTAACTTAGCAGTATAGCATACATGCACCATGGAAATCCATCGGACATTTCTTCGTATTTGCCTTGTGAGTTTTGCGTAGATGTGGAGTTGTGGAGCTAGAATTTCTAGGACTTTGCTGCCAGTACAAACTTGCTCAGTGTACTCGGGAGTGACGGTAGTGTAAGATGAGGCAATTGCTGTAGTGACACTGTAGTGGATGCGTCTGACATGTTTTTGGATTTTTTGGATTCCAAAATGCCAGGGCTTTGGAGAAATCAGCATCACAACTGAGGAGAATCAGCATTCGCCCTGGATTCAGATCCCAAGCGACACAAAGGCAGCAGGTCAGATGTCTCTGGCTGTCTCTGGCTGTCTCTGGCTCTGGCATGAGTCATCCATTGGTCCATTGGTCAATATCAACTTGATTTGTGGCCTCATCAGGTGGCAAGTTGCAGGTGCACCAAGTGGCTGATGTGGAGGGCTTGGCGTTCCATCCATTCCGTGGAACCAAGTGGGACCGAAATTCTGGCAACAAGTCATAGCCATGTTGTGAATGTGTGACGTGCGAATCCAGGGGCCCCCAAGCTCCAGATTTCCCCCTTTGATCCCCTTGTTAGCACCGTGGTATCAGCGAGTTGTGTTGCAGATCACACTTGAAAGCTCAGGTCGTAGTCCTAGATGCGGAGGTCATCGATGCTTTGCATCAGATGGTGGTCAAAGACAAACCTGACCACGATGGTATGTCGCTTGGAACGAAATGAGTTCAGAAAAACTGACCCGCTGCTGCTGGATTTGCTGGATGCATTTTTCTGACGGGTTGGTACTACAAATAGGGAAAGTGGCCCATGAGGGCCCTACATCGGCCCTACGTCGTCACGGCTTTGCCTTGTCAGCATGGGGCGCTGCAACTGCACATTGATGTCATTCCAAGGAGCGTCAATCTCTTTATCGAGTTGGCTGTAGAGTGGCAGATGTCAGGCCCTGCTCCGTGGATGGAACCAGTGTCAAGAAACGTTTTTGTTTTAGGATCATCTCTTGATTAAATGATGCAGGTTGGGTTCATCACAGTTTAGATTGCTCGGCACGCCCACCCAACATCCCCAGCAATTGTAACAATGGGAGCTAGTTTGTTCAAAGATGTTCGCCTCCGTTGTTTTCCACATCTCCCAGAGTTTACTCCAGGGAAATTCACTGGACACCCCCTATAATTCATGTCCTTCAAAGAAACCCAGTGATACCCAGTGAACATAGAACGCATAGAACCCAGATGGGATCAGATGGGAAATCCACCAATTTCAGATGGTTCGGGGACGTTTCGGGGACGGAGGACACGAATGTTCTTGGCGAATCGCCAGGTGAATGGCTTCAGATTCAGAGTTCCCCACATCACTTCATCGAGCTGCCAGTGCATCCCCGTGATGCGGGTGTGGATGTGGGTTGCTGCGTGAGATTCGATTGCCCTGTGATTCTGAAGTGGTTTCCACTGTTTCCACTTTCCTTTATTTCACAATTTTCACAACAGATTCTTTTTTTAAACGAAGCTGTTGTTTAACACTGTTTCCGCCTTTGATTTTGGACCAATAAACTTCAACCGGCTATTGATGGGACGGGCTTGCCAGGTGGCTTAAGCGATGGCATCGGTGGCCATCAGTGCTTCGAAACCTCCGTGGACATGGACTTTTTTCTGGCAGGTGCCCACCCTTGCCCACCTTGCTCACCTTGCCCGTGCCAATTTCTCAAGAGTTTCCAACATTCCATGATTCCATGATGATTCCATGATGATCCCATGATGCTTTCCACATACCAAGTTAGGACATGGAATATCATGGAATATCACGACTTGCTTCTGTCGAAGTGCTTTGTGTTTCCCAAAAGTTCAATTTTCGAATGTTATCATGTGCAAGCTAAGAGCACGAATGCATATGGATTGGCAGCAACTTCCAGGATATTTGCCTCGAAGTCCCTGCTGGTTTCCGATTCTCAAAGACGTGGGCATCTCAGCTTCGACTCTGCACAGATTGGGCCATTGAGAATTCACAAGGATCCAAAGTTGTTGATCCGATGACAAGTGATGACAAGTGATGACCTCCAAGTCCTGTCTTTCGATATGTTTGGAGATTGTGAGATTGTGAGAATCGTGCCCATTTGTGCCCTAGGAATCCGAGCTTCAACGTACCCGTTTCGAGATTGACGTGTCGGTGCCGTTGGGCTTCTCCGTGTGCACCGCAGGGCAACTGGTGTGGGCCCCGGCCTTCGCATCTGTGGGCTCTGCGACGCACACGGCTCTGTTCCCAGCGGAGGTCCAGCGGCAGAGTGGCCCTGGCCGCCCGTCCCAGTGGAGGCTCGGCTCGGCTTTGGTGCCGAGATGTGCCGAGTGGCATCGGAGTCGACAACGATGTCCTGACTGCAACTGACGTTGCAAGACAATCATCGAGACTACGCGTGCAGATCTTTTGAGACTAAGCAAACATATTCTGCATCTTTCTGCATCTTTTCCGTATGTCGTGAGCACCGCTGTGGAGGTTCGTGGAAAGTTGTCCATTGACTCCTTGTGATGTGCCACTCATCGTGGGACCCTTGGACGAAGCTGAAGAGAAAGGCAGGAAGTTGGTGAAATGTTTCAATTCCAAAAGCCGAAATCGAAAAGCACCAGAGTTATGGGAAAAATCGGCCGGGCAGGCACCAGAGTTATGGCGCCCTGTGGTTTCCCTTTGGATGAAGAGTTGATGGAATTACAACGAGAAAAGCTAAGCCTTGTCAAGACGTTGCTTGGAAAGCAGATTTGCATTTGCTTTACACCGCTTTTTGCAGGATGTATTTTCACGTGCAACAAATTGTGCTAGTTGACTGATGTTGACTGATTTTCGTAGGGGTTCACAAGTTCAAGGCTTGACTATCCCTGGCCACTTCTGGGCTGTTGCTTGGCCGACCTGGGCCGACCTGAGATTGTTTTTAATCGAAGACATGTTAGGGAAACAAATGTGCCTCCATGTGCCTCCTAGTTTCAGTTTGGGTTTTGCATAAAATGTTGGTTTATACATTATTGCATTCCAAAAAGAGTGGTTTGATGGACGACGATGAGTATGCTTTTCCTGTATGTTAATGCATTTTTAATCATTATCCCAACTTTACCAAAGTTGTTGTGTGCCCCCTTTCGTCTTGTCTTCGCTTGAACTGCAATGACGTGTAAACACCTTGCTTTGTGGCAAGAACAATGGCAAGTGAGAGAACCTGAGAAGCTACGTCAAATTGCATGCCGCTGCTGCCATGTCCTGGGAGGCACTGCACTTTTTCTGCCATTGCCACATCTTCGTCCGCCTTCTTTACCCAAAACAATCCGCTCCGAAAAAGTCAATGACAACACTCGGATACATGTGCCTCGGACTTCCCGGACTTCCAGTGATGCTTTCGGATCTTTCGAAATCATTCCAAGGTTAGCGGAACGTTGATCCAATAAGACATAAGCGATGTGAAGGTTAGGGATGATCCACTGTTGCCCCGTGCAAAAAAGCTACCCCGCTGCAAGGCTTCTAGCCTCCCCTGCTACAGCATCCATGGCAGTGTCTACATTTTTGACCTCTCCCTGCTGGGGAGTGCCTTGGCCCCTGTGAAGTTCATGTTTCTTTTTGTCAAGTCACTGTTCTAATCTGAAGACTTGTGCCATGAAACTCCCTGGCACTGAAGTCCTGAAGTCTTTAGCAAGCAATGAGGTACACCCAAAAATAAGAGGCTTGAATTGGGGTTTATGATTGGGTATCCTGTACCCGAATTTGGGATGATGTAAATGACTTGGTATGGTTTATTATTACTATTATTATTATTATGATTATCATTGGGTTAATCGCATTAAGCAATTTTGTTCTCAGGTTGGG